AATTAAATTAGTATTTTTCAAAGTAATAAAAATGAGAACAATTTTTATTTATAAATAATGCAAATGAAAAAACACAATAAGAATTATAAGACATTATTCCTGATACTTTAATATATTGAAAAATTATAATTCATTGAGGACATAAATTATATAGCTATATATTTCTACTGTAGAGCTAAAATTTATAATTAATTAAATTAATTGTCATATTATCATCAAATAAGAAAACTCTTAACGAATCTAAAAGTTAAACTCTATACTTGCTGTCGGTTCCTACATTTATGAGATTATCCACAAATATTAGCATTATATAATTATTGAAATTTTTGAATAAGTATTATGTAATTATTGTTGTTATTAAATATGTTAAAATTTATTTACTTAGTTGAATTTGTGGTAATAGTTTATTTACTTTATGCTTTTGATACTTATAGCTTAGAATGAAATTCAGCAAAAAAGATTAATTAACAACGAGATGCATTCAATTGTCCGTTTGTTCAAAAAATAAAGAAATAAGAAGGAGACATAAAAATATGATATGAGATATAGCATCAACAAATATCTGTATTGAAAATGTGCTTTATAATGAAAAAAAGGAGATTGCAATTTTGTTCATGGTATTGAAAGTATTCGTTTCTTGATTGCAAAAGTGATCCAAGAAATAGCAAAACTAAGATCTATATTGATTGTATTTCAAAAGGAATTGATTGTATAGCTAATAGTTCAAAGTAAACTACAAAGACTAATTACAATTCTAGAGGATCTGTGATATTTATATTAGAAATAAAACTACTCCTTATTTATAAATTTTTCCTTTTATGTCTCTTTTAGATCTTGTTCAACTTAACTTAACCGTTTGGTACAGTATTAATTTCCCTCAATTAACTAAAGCAAACTGACTTTCTTTATAATAATGTTACGAAAATCTCTATTAATTTAATTTGATTAGGAAAAAAATAACTATTTAATTTTTAACTTCTACTTGTGATTAGTTTTTCAATTAAAATCATAATATTCTAGTCTGAAAAAATTTCATTTTTTAATTTATTGATTCTTTAAATATTAGAAATAAATAAAAAAGGTCAAAAGTATAAATCCCTCTATAGCTATTATGAAGAATTATTTTAATTTTGATTCTAAATTCTCGTAATTTCATACTAATCTAAGCTATTTCAAAAGATTTATGAAGTTCTGATAGGTAAACATTTTCCATTATCCAAATCTGAATATTAAATAATTCGCTAATTTAAAGATTGTAGTATTTCTCTATGAGGCAACGTAAGAACAGTTAAGTATAACAGAATCACTAACAGGAAAGAAGATATAGATAGATGGTTATGAGAAAAAAGAGGAAAAATAAGTTATCATTGATAAACCTAGATTATTAATTTTGCTGAATCACCAAATGTAAAAAGTATTGACTTGTATTCCAAAAAATGAAAAGATATTTTGGAATTATATAAATTGTTGTGTTTGACAGAATTGAGAACTTTGACTTGTCATAGAAATTCCTTGGATACTATTAGAAATTCCAAAGAATCTACAAGTATATAATTGCTCAATTTTAAATTTAGATAATGTTTTAATATCTTAAAAGGAATTTAGATACATGGAGAAATACCTTGAGAATATTTAGATAATTAAACCTCCTATAATTAAATATGAAATTTAATCTCAAATATAATCCTCTTCCTAAGTTAAAATCATATTCATTTTAAGTTCATTAAAGTATCTACAAAATATAATAAAGCCATCTTCCTTGAAGCAACCTAATTTACACTATTCAATATTTTCGATTATTCATTCAGCTGAATGTTCAGTAATTTAATATATTTGTCATAACTTGCAGAAAGCCAATATTTAACATCATGTGAAAAAAATAATTAATTGAAAATCCATCTTTGACCTTCAAATACTGTTATTTTCTTTTAGCATTCACATTCCACCAAAATATCTTTTAAT